GCCCACAGTGGCTGAGGGAGAACCCTGTTAAGTGCCAAAGCATCTGCGTTAGTATAAAGCCTCAAGGAACACCCCACAAACCTGGTGAAAAGGTAGTTACTCTCCCCCACTCTCACCAACCTATCTGAGCAGAGATCACTAGGCACTCAATACTGAAGGGTTGGTTAATGCCCCTGATGCCATGGGGCCACAGCCCTCCTTAGAAACTAACAGATGTATCATGTGAACTCAGGTCAGAAATCCCATGTTGCACTTGGCAGGATTCCACCCTCTCTGTTCTAAAAAAATGCCTCAAACCGGTCAGAGAAGCAGTGGCTCCACTCCTACGAGCTGGGGTGAAGGGGAAGAGAGACAGCTGTCACAGCACACAGTGCATAAATGGGAAAGAGCTGGACTTCTCATCACTCTGAAAAGGAAAAGGAGAGGTGTACATGCGCCAGGCTAGCGACTGAGGCCACTGCTGAGAGCTGTTACTGGCTAGCCAGAAGGACCCTGAGAATATTTAGGCTAACACAGTCTCCCGGTGAATGCCGAGTTAGGTGTATCACAGTGATAATGGTTATTCTGTACAGTGACAAATGCAGTTTGGTAGCAGTGCAGTATCCCCTTGCCTGATGTTTCCTATCCTTCCTTGAAGGTGCAGGTTGGCAGGGGGCGGAGAAAGCCACCTTATGGCAAGTGAAGATATTCACAGCTGCCAACCAGAATTGCTTTGCAGATATCCAAGAACTGAAAGCTACAAAGAAGTAGCTAATGGCTAAAAAAAATTCCAGTTTATAAAAAAAATAGGAAAGCACGAGACAAGGCTACTGCAAAGTTCCTCCTAACAGGTCTGAGATGCAGCAAAGAGCAGATTCTCTCAGGGACTCAAGCCCTTTCCCCCAACCCCCAAAGTATCTTCAAGCATCTCCAACTATCACACCACTATTGTGATTTCAGTTCACCTTGGGTGACTGTTTGCTTTCAGTGTCCACTTTCATGAGCAGAGTTTGCATCCGCTGCTCAGAATGCTTGCAGCTTCTTCAAATGCTGGGCTGAGGACATGTATGCAGAGGTGGTGAGCGCTCGCCACTTGTGGTCATGTGGGATGGCAAAGGGTTGCTGGAGCTCTCGGTCCCATGTGTTAAGGCTGATTTCAGACATGAGAGATGCTCTAGGAGGAGGAGAACTTTTTTTTTTTGCAAAATGCTGTGCAAACCACAGAACGGAGAAAGCCTTTGGTCATAAAATACTTGACAGTGAGTCTTGTATGGAAAGATTCCCCTGAACACCTACGGTATTCTACATCTTAAAAAAATATACTGTGGACACTGCAGCCATACAAGGGGGGAGGGGCCAGGAGAGGGGATTTACAGTCTCACATGGACACAACGGGGAGGTTAGGACAAGCACAGTCATAGTCCGTAAAACTGATTGGCTCGCGAGGATTATCAGTCATCCTCCTCATCCTCTTCATCTTCTGGATCTTCCTCTCCCTCATCCTCTAGGTCTCTTTTTCTCTTCTCACCCTGTGGAAGGTCTGCAGGGAGGGAGTAAGAATTAAATTCTATTTGCAGCCTTGCAGAACTGCATTTGATCTCATTCTTCACAGGCTATTTAAGCTACACATCTCGCAGGTGAACAAGTATGAACTAGAATCACAACAATTGCTGTACGGAGTCCCACCCACTGTTCCATTTTACATAGCATCCAAGCAAAAGCCTTGGGCAAGATTTTCAAGTGACGAGTGATTTTTGGTGCTCTTGAGATACTTCAGAGGGCCCAAATTTTAGATACTGTGTGACCACCTGAACTCTAATGTCCCTTTTTTCAAGGTGTGAAATTGGGAACCCAAAAATTGAGGCACTTAAAATCACCAGTCACTTTTGAGACTCTCAGCCAAGTTTATTCTTGGTGATTTGTCGTTCAAGAGTTGCGCCAACCTCCATTTTCCTATAAATACCCTTACAAATAATCAACTATATGTAAGCCCATCCAGATCCTGTCTTCAACTATCTAGGGAATTTTCTTCAAAGTTAGAAGATGTCCAGGGCTTTGTCGTCTAGAGTGAAGTGAGGCCCCAGCTAGAGTATAAAAGAAACCACAGTTCCTAGAACAAGTGCTTTATAAAAATGCTAACACAGCAGAGCTTCCATTAGAGCCTCTCCTCCTTCCAGAGTATGATATTAAATTACACAGAACTGGGTTATTTTGCCAATCTACCTATCAGCTTTTTAGCAATTGACAACCTATTAATACCAACTGACTGTCTTAGATATCTTGGGATGGTGGTATAATTTAGTTCTAGTGTTAACCAGTTTCTCTTGGGCTGTAGATTCATGCTTGGTCTCAGTCCAAAGCAGTAGTATTTTGGTAAGAGTGCAAAGTTAGGTCAGCCATTTCCCCATAAGTCACAAAAGAAACAGGGACTCCAGGATCTGAGGCTAGAAGCTACAAAACATGGCTTGTTTTATAGAGCTCACTGAGGAAGGAAAATGGATTCTACCTGAGACTGATTTAATCTGAGTTAGCTGCACTGAATGTTCAGTCAGCATGTTTACATTAGCACACTCTGGGATCTCACCACCCTCATTCAATAGTGGTTTAAAATAATGAGCACCTACAGTTAAAGACCTACTAGGTCTTTTCCCTTAAATGTGCAAATCAAATGCAAAAATTAATGCAGCATTACGGCTGGAAAAAACTAAGATAAGGAAACTCAAAAGTTCGTGTTTCTAACGCTACATTGACCACAACAACACAGAATGTGCAATTTGGGGTGGCTGTTTAGTGCAACTAATACATTCCCATGGAATGCACAGGATGCACTGAGTAGCAGAGTGGAAGCCCTAACTTTGAATTTCCTGACTTGTGTGCTTTGTTTCCCAACCTCAATACTTAACATTTTATTTAGCTCTGGGACAGTGTCCCAGTTTGGTGGTGACAGGAGCGAGACTTCCTTGCCATAAAAGATAGAAGTGTCTAGTTCTATTGCTCAGCCCCCAGAAGGAGACAGTGACTTTTGGCATCAGAGTAATGGATGGTTAATGCTACCTTTGTGAGTGCTGCACCTTAATTAGGAGAATTATATCTACTCACCCTCCTCACCTTCGTCATCATCTTCATCCTCCTCATCCTCTTCCTCCTTGAGTTAAAAAAAGAATCTTTGTTTGTACAAGGACCAAGATCCAGTGACTAGAGATCTAATTCCTTTTCCACTCAGTCATCATTCATGGTCTCTTCAAGTATGACTTCAAGACACTGCCCTCTGGCAGCACAGGAACTCAAAATGGCCAAGTAACAAAATTAACCCCCATCCTTGCACCCTGTTGCCTGCTCCCCTTCCTCATCCTTCACCCCACAGGGACAGGAACTCGTGGGCACAAAGAAGAGAAATTGTAACGTCACCTGGAAACACAGCAAGGTGTTTCCCCCTCATGCCATCCCCACCTACAGCATTAGGAATCCAGACAACTGCTCTGGGAAGTGATGACTACCTAGCAAGCACTTTTCAGGAAAGGATACAGCATACTTGGTCAGATTACAAAGTTTCTCAGGAGGACTGATTTTCATCAGCAAGAGCACAGATGAAGTATTTACTAACAGGCAGCCCCAAAGGCTCATGCTGATGTCAAGTCAACAAGAATAGCCTCACCTCATCATCTACTCCATCTTCTTCCTCTTCACCTTCCAGATCATCTTCATCCTCCTCCTCGTCATCAATGACTTCCTCATCCAACTCATCTTCCTCATCATCATCCTCTTCCTCACCTTCTACCACAACAGAGGGAGATGAGTGGGTTCCCCACCAATGTGCTCAAAGCAACACACCAGGGACAGGGAGCCAGGAAATGCTCCCAGACATCTTTTTGCACAGCTGTGCCAACTCAGAAAGAGCAACTAACCCAGAACAGCCCCACTGACATTAGGTAAAGCCCTGTGCCACAGAACAGACCTATGCACAGGAGGTATGTCAACTGACAAGCCCAGCTGGCTCAACTCAGATTTGGTTTTCCAGTTCATGCTTGCGGGAGATGGGATTACCAAAGCAAGATTAGACTTTGGTAATGAGTTCACACCACTATGGAGGGGTCAGTGGGGTCAGCTAGTGAAATGGGTGGGAGGCAATGACAGAAAGCCACTCTAAGCCCCCTTTACCTTCTCCGTTCTCATCATATTCATCATCCAGCCCATCACCATCTGCTTCAGGGTCTGAGTCAGGGGCTTCCTGGTCATCAGCATCAAACCCATCCAAGTAGGTGAGCTGGGGCAGAAGGGCAAACATGCTCTCCCGGTAGTTGATCAGCATTGTCACCTCGCAGTTGAAGAGATCCAGGCTATGCAGATTCGGCAGTTTCTTCTGCAAATATTAATTTATTAGGCCATTAGGAGACCATTCTGGTAAACTTGCTATGAGCAAAGGGATGAGGGAGATAGAAGGATGTGCCTGGAGCAGGTGGTTTACTACCTGACCTATAGTAAAGGAACTCTTTCATGCATACTATTTTTTATAATATGTGCCCCTTACAAAACCTAGGACTGATGTCAGACACCCCCTGGGGGCCAAGCAAGTCCTCTCCATGACACCCCCAGGTGCCACCTACCTCAAACATCCGACCCCTTAGCAGTCCTTTCCCAGGTGGACACTGAGCACTACATCCACAGTTTTGTTCATCCAGCCTAATTTCATGTTCCTTGAGCAACTGGCTGCTGGTTTTCCAGACAGAGGCGCCAGTAACTATTAGCCCAGCCACACATTGGGCAACTCGTCAGTTCACATTAGAACCACGAAGTACTACTGGAACATTTATCAAGATAGTTTGATTTCAGCTGCACCCACATGACCCCCAAAGGGAACAGCATCTATCAGTTAGATCCATGCACCGGGCCTTTCACTCACCAGGGGCTCCAGGGTGTTGATGTCCTTGATCTTGTTGCCACTTAGATTCAAGTGGGTCAGGTTAGGGGTCCTCTCTGCTAGAACTTCAAGGCCACCGGAGATCCGGTTATCACTCAGCTCCAGCTGCCAGGAAACATTCAGAGGCATTGCTTTAGAGGATCTCAACACTTGACATAGGTGAGTAACATTACCATTTTACATATGGGTAGATGGGTAAGTCATTGACTCTCTAAGGCCACAAAGTGAGTCAGAGCATGGACCAGAACACAGGAGTCCAGACTCCCAACCCCATTCTCTAGCCACTAGACCTTGCTACCTATAAACTGCAGATTAAGAATCTATTTTAACTTTATTATATAACCCACAGCAGGCAAACATGAGCCCCTCTCCTCCCCCTGAATATTTGCTGTTTGGAAAGGGAGGGAAATAAGGAATCAGGGCAGGGGACTGGGCAGTTTTCCAGCACAGCTCTGATACCCCACCCTCCCTAACACAAACAGCAGAATGATCATGTCAGAAGGGAGTTCTATTGAGCCCACTCAAGGCCGTATATGGCACACTAGTAACAATCCCTCAAGTTAAGAAGCAGTGCCAAAAAATCCAAGTTAAAAGCAATAATGTGAGGTTTACTCCTCCACTCTCCTACATGCCTGGCGTCGGGGGGAAAATCACTAAGACTTCAGCTACAAGGGGCATGTTTACACCAGTCAGAGCACAAGGTCAGTGATATGAAACTGCCAAGGATCTTTACAACCTTGGTTACACTAATCCTTTCTTCCAGAAGATTTCACACCACTACATCTCCACTGGTGGCAGGGCTACTGCAGACGAGACTCCAGGCAGCTGCCTGCATTTCAACCATTGTTTCACAAAAAATATGGTAGCGCTTAAAATGCCAACAGCCACCATGAAGCTCAGTCCACCCTACCACATTCAGCCACTCCAGAGGTGTTTGCAATGATGGAAATTTTCAGAAAGAAGCTAGCACAGCCAGCCATTCACCAGGCAGCTCCCATCACAATGAGGTATGCCCCCCAAAGGCAGTGTTGCTTCTGGGATCAGAGTCGCAGGCATCTGCTAAGACCACAGTGCTTTCCAGCAAATTGGAGTCACATGCACATAGGGTGATCGCCATCACATATATGATCTTCAGCCTCTCAAAGGAGGACAGAAGATTATTAAATGGTTAAATGAGACTGTACAGTCACCCTGCTTGGTTACTGCTCCCACCTCTATTCGATTAACCCCCATATAAACATCATGTGCAGCAAAGCAGCTCCTGAGAGGCTCAGGCCCCTTCCCCACACAGCTGAGAGATGTAAGGCAGCACCCACAACAGGTGTCAGCAACAAGTTCCCATGCTGGTTTAGCTACAGGTGTAGAGAGGGACATGCCGAGGACAGCAAGAGTTGAGAAATCATTGCAAATGCCTGAGAGGAAGACGGCCCCATGGCTTCTGAACTGGTGCTGAGCCAGTTGTTAGCACCCAGGACCAGCAACAGAATTTTTCTAGTGTGGTCCATGCATATGGGCTAAGGGGAGATTAATTTAGGCTTCAGGCCTTTCCTGCTTTTTAAGAAATGTTTCTTTAACATACTTCAGTTTAGAAAAGGATTTTTGCTCAGCACTTCAAAGCAGTAAGATAGCTGCAGCACCAAAAGAGGCATAACGGCCCTGTGATGGGAGAGGCTTAGGGAAGAGGCCAAGATTCTCAGAAGTGGTGTCTAGTTTTGGGTGCTCAGAATGGGTCACGATGCAAGGGTAACCCTATCACAAGAGGCTGTTCTAGCACACATGTGCATGAAAGCAGGAGACAGGCACTGATACATCTGATGAAGTAGGACAGCGATACAAGGGGATGGAGTAATCGCTGTAAGGGAAGCTCAGCTCTAATGCCAGCCACTCCTGCCCCATTTGCCAGAAAACTCATGGTAGGGCTGCACAGCCTCACATCCGACTGGCACCACCCCTTAGCTTACCTTGCGGAGTTTGTTGAGCTTGGGGAGATTGGAGACAGACAGCAGGTTGACATTGATCATGCTGAGGAACTCCAGATTTTCAAAGTCCGAGGAAAGGCCGACGATCTTCCCATCGTCCGAGCGGCAGTTATCCAGCACCAGCTCCTTCACCTACAAGAGGAGGGAGAAATACTCAGCAGCTGGCACAAGGAGCCATCACTGTCACTTACAACCTCTGGAGTGTCTCAGCTCTAAAATCAATTTGTATTAACCTACCAAATTAACCCATTAATATCAAGCTCCTGAGTGGGACCGATTTAAAATTGAAGCGCTATGAACCAGTCTAAGGCACAAATACCAAATAACCCCCCCTCAGCCACCCTGTTAAGGGGGTATGCAAATACTCCACTATTTGTAAACCAAGTTTACCTTAGTGTGGGTACAAGGTGCCAGACATGGCAGCCCCTACATACCACAGTCCTACCCATAGTTAAAGAAAAGGCAGTGGTAATCTTCACTGCCACTATGCCATGTCACCAAGATATGGTGGGATCACCTCTAAAAAGGGTTCAGTCTCTGTGGCCCAGCTAATTCGTGGCTTCTAAGCAGCGAAATGTTAACAAGGGCATCAAAACTGAGCTGAACTGAAATATCTCAACTCATTTCACATGGCACCAAAGAGCTTTCATATGACAATTATTTTCATGCAGATTTGAAACTACAAGGTTTTATCCAGTTACTAATCCCCTTTGGGTCCCATCTCTCTATCCATCTGGATTTCCCTCTTATGCTGGAAAAATCTTTCAAAGTAGCATTTCCAGCCTGGCTCAAAGGCCAGACTCTCCATCTACGTTGTGCATTAGCCCCCAGCCAACTGAGGAGCACAACAGCAGAGTGGGGTGCATGACAATTCCTCTGCTCTAACTTTTTTTTTTTTTATAAACAGGTTCTAACATGGTCAGCTCACACTCAGACCTCACATCCACTCAGTATTTACCACAGTAAAAGAATCTACTCCCTTCAGTTGATGCACATGCACCCCACAGCCACACATGCTGCTTCTGATGACTTGTCAGATAGGCAAACATGCATGGCAAGAACCCCAGAAACAAGTAGGGGTCCCAGTACTCCAACAGCAGTTGTTACAGGCTCAATTCCCAAAGTGGGCTCTTGTCCTACATGTTCTTCAAAGCAGGCCAAAAGTCACATCCTTGGCTAAAAAGCTACTGATGCTCTCCAAACTCATCCTTTGAATCCCACCTTGCTTGGTTCACATTGACCAGAAAAACTGTTTAACCTATTTTAGAATGATCACATTAACCCCACACTTAAAGACAGTTTCTTATCAGGCACATTAAAATTGGTAGTGGGAAGAGTTTCTTAGAGTCAAGCAGCAAGCACAAGCCACCCTCTTTGCCATTTCACGTACTTTAGAGTTTCCTACTTTCTGCTTGCAACATTTGACGGAATGAGTGAGTACGAGTGACTAATGTGCTGCAAAATGTCAAAAAAGACTCCGTTTGTAAAAGACCCAGGGTACCCTGCAGTAGATTGTAAGTTTTATACCCCAGTTCCTGCTATTACTGCCTCCCCTGCCATCCCACCATCTAGAAAGCATTTTGTCTAGCCCGAGTCAGGTCCTATTTAATGCCCACAACTGTCCTTATGTCCCTAGCCTTAAAGTTGATCCACACCATTCCTCTGGCTTGCCATACAGTTGTGGGTGAATCAAGAGCAAGACCGTACCTCCCTACATAAATGTTACCTAGACTCAAGATTGTCCCTAGGTAAGAGGAAGGCCTTGTTATAAGCAAAGCCTGGTACTTATAGCAAGTCAAGCCAGCACCCATGAACCCAGGCATGAAAGAAAGCACTTTTGAAGGATGCAGAAGTCCAATGCTCAAGATTCAGCTGCTCAGCTGTGTTGTCCAAGTACTCCAGCAACAATGCAGTTGAACTGGCCCCACCACAAGGCGGGGGCAGCATTCCTTGCTTAGCTAAGGAGGTGCTAGCCACCAATAGCTCTGCTAGACAAAAGATCAGCCAACCAGCTGGCTGGAAAGAACAGCCAAGGCAACTGACTAAGATTACAGAAAAGGGAGAAGTTACTCAAAGAAGCATCTGATCAACCCCTCTCCCCAAAGATCAGGCATTACCAGAGATCCCCAATTCTTTATGCTGACCCTTCCATATCCTGTTGCACCAGCCATCCCCAAGAGATTTAACTCCTCCCACTGCAGGAGACCTCAGTTTTGTAGGGCAATTTCACCTTGAGACCAACAGCCAGGATCTCTCCTACCCAGCCACAGCACTCAGTGTCCACTTATGCCTCCACATTTCCCTATATTAAGAAACACATAGGAACAGCTCCCTTCTCACTCCTAACATATTCAGTTACATTTGGGGAGACGCGGGAGAGGTTAGAGTTCTTTATTCCTTTCCCCATTAACTCATTTGCACTAGGCAGAGAACACTGTTCTGCTAGCTTGACTTTTTCCCAGCTCACAAGGTGAATTTTTCAGCTGCCCCAATTCCAGAAGGGGAAGAATCACATAGCCTGGAAGTATCTCAAGCGGGGCTGGGGGAAGAGGGTCAGCACTTGCTCCCTGGGGCTTGGGCACTGGGCATGACATTTCCTCCAACCTTCAATGTGAGAAAGTTCATTTCACTACCCTGTGGGTTCAAATGGTGAGCTGAGCAGCAGGAACCCCTGCACTCCTTTCAGTAGCCTGGGAACTCAGCTCCACTCCTATACTTACTGCAAGGTGAGGCCTCAAGCCCAGCACCTGGACAACAGCCAGCTAAAATTGAGGTGGCTACAGCAGAGGATCAGAGCGGAGCATGGGGGAAGAGTGCAGGGGAAATTAAAGTTAAGTGCTCCGAATGAGCACTGGGGAAAACAGCTTAGGAGCAGGAGGCTGCTCTCTAGAGAATTGGGTCTGAGAGACTAGACCAAAGGGAGCCACAGTGCCAACAGGCTGGCCAAACACAGGGGAACCTAGCAGAGAATCAGACTAGGTTTTAAACAGGCCACAAATCGCTTCCAAATTGCAAATTTGGAATTCCTGCAAATCAACAGGCAGGTCAGGTTGTTCCAATCCTTTTACCAAGCACCAACTAGGGAATTTTAAATGATTCCTCACCAGCTGAACTCGGCCCCAATAGTCCCCACCCTCAAGGCAGATTTGCCTAGCTCTCTACTGCACTGCATCTCAGTGATTTCAATACCCTCCAATGCTTTAAAGCCATCAACGTTTTCATTCTTCTCTTTCTCCAGAAGCCTACAAACAGCTACCAGAGTCTTGTTCGCTCTCCAGTTCCTTCGAAGACCCCCTGCATGCTCACCTGCAATTCCAGGCCATGACAATACCACTGCTGAGACCGTACCAATAATGATTCTTTTGTACAACACCTAGCACAGTGGAGTCCTGACCCATGACTGGAGCTCCTGGGAGTTACGACAATACAAATAAAGGGACAGTCACTAATGTGCCCTATCTATGTTGCTGCTTTGTTGTTTACATTTCACTCCTTTTGCTCAGTGAAAGACTGACCAGTCACTTGTCCTTTCTTCTGCCCTTTCAATGCTGCAATCCTGACATTGCAATCACTGCAGTGAAGGGATAAACCTAGCAAAACACTGGCTCCACTTTATTTCATGAAAATGTTTTTATTTTAAAAATTGCAAAATGCCTATGGTATTAACAAAAACCAAGTCTGGGGTCTCAGCCATCACACTGGAGCATGGATCTACCCCATTCTTCACCTTTCTCTCTGAACCCCCACTCCCATACTACTCCCAGTCATCAACAGCATTTTTACAAGGTGGTTAAACAGCTAAGAAAACCCCACAAAAGCCAGGTTTGAGGAGCCACTCATACACTTTCTAAGCCACTTTGGCTGTCATCTAGACTAGCACAAAGGGTGTCAAACCCCCACACCTGAAATGAGTTTGCTCAATAGTGCAAACTTAACTATCGAAAACGCCACTAAAAATGCAGACAGTTCAACACCATTAGCACTATTTTAGCAGTTAAAAACCTAATCAAGTGTTAACTGAAAACCCCAACGAACACCAATGTAGGCACAATCAAATTGAGCCGACTCCTAGCCTGAAGAAAGGTGTTTTTATTCCTAACCTAGACAAAGTTGTTGGTGACAATAGCCCCAACCTCCAGTAACAAAAAAAAAGTGTCCACTTGAACCACATGCAAACAATTAGGGGAGATAATGGAAGAAATGGGTTGTATTAGCCTGGGTAAGCTTCAAAGACAAATCCCTGATTCAGAGACCAGGAACTGCCCCTGCCAAGCATCAGTGGAATCCACTTTTGATGTCACAAGACATCTGGTATATTATTTTCACAAGCAGTCCATGAAACCAGCCAACACTCACCACAAACTCTGAACAGGGCAGGAGGCCTGAAATAAATACTACAGGGGGCATCAAAGTGTCAGAGGAGCCAGATGCCACACATGGTGCGGTTAGGAAAGGCCATGAGGGATAACAGGGAGGATGCAAAGCAGTCATGACAAGCTGAAGTACACCAGGGAGACTCAACAGGATTATTCATGTGGGTGATGTGGAGAAAAGCGGGGAGACAGTTTATGAATAAAGCTCTCAAAAAGGAGAAGAGCTCTGTGCGCCGCTACACTGAGTGGGGAAAGGCCAGTCACTGCTCAAGGAATAAACATCAGTTACATAAAATGGAAAAAAATTATAAAACCCCTTGGCTAATTTTTAACCAGTAACACCAAATTCCAGGGCAAGAGACATATGCAACCTTCTCTGAGGACAGATCTAACATGGCTGAGTGCCACATGTGCGTTTCAGGTGCCCATCCTCACTGGCAAGAGGGCACTCTGCTAACACTGTCCATGGTTAGACATCAGACTCAGACATTAAGGTCAGAAGGGACCATTATGATCATCTAGTCTGACCTCCTGCACAACGCAGGCCACAGAATCTCACCCACCCACTCCTGCAATAAACCTCTCACCTATGTCTGAGCTATTGAAATCCTCAACTCGATTTTAAAGACTTCAAGGTGCAGAGAATCCTCCAGCAAGTGACCCCGTGCCCCATGCTGCAGAGGAAGGTGAAAAACCTCCAGGGCAGATTGGCAGAGGCCCTGGAGGAAAATTCCTTCCCGACCCCAAATATGGCCATCAGCTGAACCCTGAGCATGTGGGCAAGACTCACCAGCCAGACACCCAGGAAAGAATTCTCGGTCGTAACTCGGATCCCACCCCATCTAACATCCCATCACAGGCCATTGGGACTATTTACCATGAGTAGTTAAAGATCAATTAATTGCCAAAATCATGTTATCCCATCATAACATCCCCTCCATAAACTTATCGAGTTTAATCTTGAAGCCAGATAGGTCTGTTGCCCGCACTGTGTCCGGGCAGGGGCCACCAGATGCAAGTTTTACAGACTATTTAAAAAAAACACCATGTTCTAGAGCAGTGGTTCTCACCCCAGGGCACGCAGAGGTCTTCCAGGGGGCGCACCCGCTCACCCAGATACCTGCCTACTTTTACAACAGGCTACATAAAAGGCACTAGCGAAGTCCGGACAAACCGCAGTTCCGTACAAGGACTTGCTTTTACGACTCTACATTCTGCACCCTGCAATGTCAATACAAATATTTACAGGCCAATTGATTTTACACCTCTGGGATGGAAATGGGAACGGAAGCAGCGCTTCAGTGCCCGTGCGCGGTGACACTCCGGCGCTTTTAGGTCGGATTCTGGTGAAACTTGGGGGGACACAAGCCCAAGCAGACCCCCGACAGAGGGGACCAGCGGGCTGAGAAGGCCCCGCGGATCTGGAGCCGGCATGGCTGGGGCTGCAGGCACGTCACGCTTCGGCCATATTAACAGGATCTGCATTTCAATGGCAGCTGCCACCAGCTCCCCGCCAGCGCGGGCGGGCCCCGGGACACACGCGGCTCCGGGGCGGGGAGCTGCTCAGCGTCCCGTCCGTCCCCCCCTCCCCGGGCGCCAGCTCCCCCGGCCCGGCTTTCCCCGCAACACTCGCCCGAGCGCCCAGGCCCCGGCCCCGCCGCACACGTGCGCAGCCCGGCTCCTGCCCGCGGCCGGCCCGGAGCCCCGGACACGCCGCCGACCCCAGCCCCGGCCGCCGGCTCTCAGGCCCGCGGGGCCCGCCAGCACGGGAGCGAGCCTGGCGCCGAGCCTCCGCCGCTGGCCCCCCCCGGGCAGCCGGGCCGGCCCCGCCACGCGCGCCCCCCGAGCCGGAGCCTTCTCCTGCCCCTCCCCCGGCCGCCAACCGCCCCCCGCCGGAGGGGGCTCTCCGGCCCCTTCCCCCCCCGCCGGGGGACTCTCCCCCTCCCCCACCCGCCCCGCCGGGGGGGCTCCCCCGCCCCACAGAAAGGGCTACCCCTCCCCCCGCACGGATTTCCCCCTCCCCCCCCCGGCGGCGCCCCTCACGGCAGCCGCCGGCTCCACGAGACGCCGGCCCGGCGGCCCCGCACCCGGGGACACGTGTCGGGGGAGGCCGGGTCCGGCCCCGCTCACCTCCGCCGGCTTCTTGTTCCGCAGCTCCAGCGTGAGCCGCTTCTCCATCTCCATCCTGCGCCGCCGGCCGCGCACCTCAGACCCGCCGCCGCCCCGCGCCGCCGCCGCCGCCCGAGCCAGGAGAGCGCCGCCGCCGCCCGAGCCGCTTATATAGAGGAAGGCGCCAAAGGCAACAAAGGGGGAACCTACGGGGCAGGGCCCCCTGCCGGCCGGGACCCGCCACCGCGCCGCTGCCCCGCGGCGCCCCCTGCCGGCCGGGACCCGCCACCGCGCCGCTGCCCCGCGGCGCCCCCTGCCGGCCGGGACCCGCCACCGCGCCGCTGCCCCGCGGCGCCCCCTGCCGGCCGGGACCCGCCACCGCGCCGCGCTGCCGGCCGGGACCCGCCACCGCGGCGCCCCGCGGCGCCCCCTGCCGGCCGGGACCCGCCACCGCGCCGCTGCCCCGCGGCGCCCCCTGCCGGCCGGGACCCGCCACCGCGCCGCTGCCCCGCGGCGCCCCCTGCCGGCCGGGACCCGCCACCGCGCCGCTGCCCCGCGGCGCCCCCTGCCGGCCGGGACCCGCCACCGCGCCGGCCCGGGACCCGCCACCGCGCCGCTGCCCCGCGGCGCCCCCTGCCGGCCGGGACCCGCCACCGCGCCGCTGCCCCGCGGCGCCCCCTGCCGGCCGGGACCCGCCACCGCGCCGCTGCCCCGCGGCGCCCCCTGCCGGCCCGGGACCCGCCCCTGCGCTGCCGCCCGCTGCCCCGGACCGCCCGCCGGGCGGCGCCCTCTGCCGGCCGGAACCCGCCACTGCGTGGCTGTTCTGCGGCCCCCCCTACCGGCTGGGACGCAGCCACTGCGCTGCCACCCCAGCGCCCTGCGGCACCTCCTGCTGGCAGTCACCTGCCACTGCCCTACCTCCTGCTGCCCTGGCCCACCCTCCCTGCGGCGCCCCCTGCTGGCTGGGACCCACCACTGCACCACCGCCACTGCCCCTCAGGCCCCTGGCACCCCTGGCTGGTCAGGACCACCACTGTGCTGCCTCCCGGGCCCACCCACTCTGTGGCAGCCTCTGCTGACTGACTAACCACTGCACCACAGCCCTGGCTCACCAGCCTGGCAAGGAACTGAGAGGCTGGAAGAGGTCTGGCGTAGCCCCCTGCTCCTCTCCTCTGCCATGAGTGCACAAGGATAGTGTTGTCTTGGGAGTGCTGTGCTCCATCAGCCCCGTATCCAACCCACTGCTGTGCAAGATCCAACCATCGGTCCCTATAACCCTGTATCCAATCCCCTGATATGCCGGATCAGAGCGTCAATCCCTGTAGCCTCCTATCCCTATAGCTGCCTCCCATGCTGTATCAGACCATCAACCCCGATAACCCCGTCTCTGACTGTCTGTCACGCCAGATCAGACCGTCAGCCCCTGTAGCCAAGTCTTCTACCTCTGGCAGGGGCCAGAAACTTATGCTTCAGGGAGAGGCAAAACCCTCCCATCCTCAGACTGACCTACAGGGAATTTTCCCAGGAGGCCCCAGGACTTGGCCCCTGTATCCCAGACGTCTCCAAGCAGGGGGAAATCAGAGGAGACAAGTGGCTCCCACAAAAATTAATACTCAAGTTATTGTAGCCCAAGAATCCTGGGGAAGGGTGACTACGTTGGGGGGGTGGGGGAAGAGAAGCTTTTGGCCACTGGATAAACTCACGTCTTATGACCACTTGCACAGCTGCAGCATCTCAACCTTTGGCTTCTCCCTAGCTAATCTGGCTAGCCGTTAATGCTACTCTGTGCTCATTGCTCAGCACCTTACCTGCTCTCGAAGGAAACCCAAGAAGGAGTCCCTTTCTCTCTCTCCACTCCCATGTATTTCTTTTGTCCTTCCGTGTTGACGGGCAAGCCGCACCAATGAGCCGGGATCCAGTGGAGCTGGTATGATGGCCCAGCCGCCATCGAAATCAGCAGGAACCTG